TTATGGATTGTGTGAAATTTGATAGAATTTAATAGATTTCATAAGATTTGAATGGATTTCTATTTTGTAGATTTTAAAAGATTTTCATGGATTTTATAGATTTCAATGGATTTTATAAATTCTAGGTAAAATTTATAAATATGCTTAACATAAGCCACAAATTTTTACTTCTTCTTTAACAACTCATTCTTACACATATTCACGTTAATAAATCACAGAAAATGATTGAATCCTTGTTCAATTGTTTGTTAAACGTTGAATATTATAACAGAGTTTCAATAAAAAATACGCCCAATATTCAACAAAATGCGAGAGTGGGAGAGGACAAAAATATGTAGTGTTAAATAATCAAAGTCGCAATCAATATGAATTAGTTCAAAAGGCCACAACCTTGTGAGATACAAACACACAGATGTACACATACATGACCACAAGGCAATCAATTCCATACCCCCAGAACTCTCATTGACCATGCAGACACAAAAGAAAAAATTATGGGATACCATCCTCACATGTCTTGGCTAGAATTCGCAGGTATATATAGAAAACACACAACTCTTCCCAAGAAAAAGGAATAGGGTACAGAACTTGAAAGACGAAGTTGTTCCAATATGCATATTAAAAATCGTAAATTACCATGATAACTTCCGGCACATCTATAAAATAGTAAACAATATATAGCTTTGATAAAAAAAAATAAGTTCAATAAAAAATCACACCCAATATTCAAAAAAAATAGTAATCTTTCATAAATTATCATCAATTGAAAAGTTCTCATACACGATTTTTTCACAGTAGAAAAATGTGAGATAGAAAGAAAAAGAAAATCTTGTTGAAAATGGAGGGGGGGGATAGAGAGAGGGGGGGGGTAGCAAATATGGAGAGAGGTGAGAAATGTTGTGAAATTTTTATGTTTGGGTTAAAATTGTTATTGATTCTTTGTACTTATATTTTTACCTTGAAATCCTTCAAAATCCTTCAAAATCTATGTGCTTAATGAAATCTTTTAAATCAACTAGTTATTGAGGATATCTAAATTTCAAAACTACCTATTAAGATCTATGTTGAGGACACCTAAATTTATAAGTATTTTTAAAAATTTAGATTGGAGACACCTATATTTTAATGAATTATATTTAAATCTGAATTGAGGATATTTCAATTTATATAGAGTTTTAAAATCCAGCAAATTCTAGATTGAGGACACCCCCCTTATTTTATTTCATTGGTAAACTGACGGGAGATTGGATGGAAACCATCTAAAAGGGTCACCATTGCAACGTTTCGAAATGTTTGGGGGTGACGGTTGCAACGAAACAAAGATTTAGGGAAGGTCTACTAATGTTATAAAGGTTTGGAGCCTCTGCTGCAATTTTTCTAATTTTAATGGGAGCCAAAAAGGGGCTTAATTAACCTTAGTTTGTGCTATAACAATAATTGACAAAATTTATTTCACTTCCAGTTGATTTTATGACTTATTATAATTTTAATATTTGACATGGATCAAAAGGAGCTTCACAATTTCATTATCTCATTTTTAGAGAGATTAAGGATTGTTTAGCAATGAAACTAACATCCACTAAGTACACAATGACTAACGACATATAGGTAGGATTTGGCGTAAAGTTCACTAAAAGACTAACCAAATTGGAACTTAGCAAACTTTAGTGACTAATCTGGAACAAAATAAATGTGAAGGACCAAATTGAAAATTTATACACCTTTGGGGACCAAACCTATATTTAAGAGTGTGTTATCTCTAGACTGAGGCAACGCAACTAGACAAGCCTGCCCTATTTTACGAACTGTTCTTATATAAAACAAGATCCTCAACAATGGAAGTGAGGCAGTCGACAGCCTTGTAGGCTATCAAGAGGAGAACCCATGTTAATTGCTTGGCGTTCTTATTCCGACCTTCTTTGGGAAGATTCCAACACATATCTAAATGATATATTTTCTTTAGAAGATTTTTGTCTCCAGTTGCTAGGGCTTGCTGCTGCTATCCATTTTCTTTTAGGGTTTGAAAATGCGGATGGTGTTGGGGGTGTAGCATATTTTCGAAGGTGGAGGTACGACGATTTGTCAAAGCTGTCGTTGGAGAAGAAAGGCCTCATGGGATTTTGATATAGGGGAGAGGGATGGGTGGAGGGGAGTGGGGTTATATATTTAATTTTATTTTTTGGGGTTTTTAATTTAATTTTTTTACTTATTTAATATGAGATAAATGAAAAGTACTGCTATACCCTTTTTAAATTGGTCAAATTTTGACTTTTCTAGTCAACTAACGATCAAATGGATGGATTCCATCCATCTGGACTTTAGCTACATATTTATGAAAGGTAAGAGACCTTTGCTGGTACAAAATGAAGGTTAAGATAAAGTATACAAACATTGAAAAGGTTTGGGACCGCTGCTGCGATTTTTCCTTATTTTAATATAGTAGTCTTTTATAACTAGAATGCCAATTAAAAATTTTTAGAGTTATTGCAAATGTGATATAATAATTTTGACAAACTTTTAATTTATTTTTAGAGGGGGAAGTGGAGGAAGTAGGGATAGCACAAAAAAAAAAAAAAAAAATTCCTATTACACTTGATACTCGTTGGAACCCACTCCGAACGAGGGACTTCCCCCATTAATATATTTAAAATTTATTACAAATTAATATTTTTATATACAATCTCATAATTTAATTACAAACATATCCTTTTCATAAATAAATAAATGAAAAAGCAGTTATAAGAATTTTTAGTTACAATTTAATTTTTTCATTGAACATGGAGATAAACGGAGTGGGGGGGGGGATAGAAACAAACATAACCGGTAAAAAAATATAAATTTTTAATTATAGTTTTAATGTCCATCGAAAGGAAAATAAAAGAGAAATATTGAAAGAAACAAAAAATACATATTAATTTTATTTTTTTTCTTGTGAAAGTTTTTCAAAATCTTAGGATTAAGGAGAAACTTTGTTTTGAGATTTTATTTTTGTATTTTTTGCATAAAAATTAATACCCTAGAAACTTTTAAAAAATATTTTAAAAAGTCATTGACAGTTTGAATACCCAAGAATTATATAAATTTCTAAAATATTTTTATTGAATATATTTGAATTTTAAAAGTTTCGATTTAATATACATATACTTTTAAAGAGTATTAAAAAGTTTATATTTAGTATCTTTAAACTTTAAATTCGAAAAAGTCCTTAAAATTTCAAATTGAATACACTCATTAAGCCAATATCCCACCGACAATGAATTTAACTTGGCTAGTCCAATCCAATCTATAAAAGCAATTTTTTTGGCCCAATTATTTATTTCAATTTTAGCCCATAATAAGACCAATCTGTCTTTCTTTCATCCATTCTTTTCTCCCGTCCATCTGTGAAATTGAAAACCAAATTTGAAATTTCCAAATCCAATTAACCCTAAATCTTCCCCCTATGCTCACGGCGGAGGCAGCTGCTCAGGTACACGAGGGCATAAATTTGGCGATCTCCCGATGGGCTTCTCTTCGAATGGCTGTCGAGAATGAGTGGGGGCGGTTGTGATTCTGCCCAGAAATCCCAACAACTCGCCCCAAGTTATCTTTCACACCTCGTTCAATCCAAAGGTATTTTCTTTATTCGTATTTCATTGAAGGATTGATATCTTCGTGCTTGTACTTTTCTACCAACGCCAAGTAAAATATATCTTCTTTAAGATGTTAATGTTTATGCTTTTCTGCAATCTTAATAACTCGAGGGCTGTCAACAATTTGAATAACAAAATTATGCTGAGCAACTTCTTAAATTACTTTCTTAACTTCTATAACAGCAACTTCTAAAACCTGCTCAGCACTAACACACACACACACAGAGAAGAGGGACGGGACCTGCAGAAATCGGAGAAGGGGGAATTACGGAAGGCAGAGCGAGAGGAAGAGCGAGAATTGGCTCCCCAACCCATGCCTAGGGTTTTCTGGGTTGTATTCTTCTTCTTCTTATCATTCTTCGTACTTTTAGCACCACTGCTACTGGTTTTGTTAGAAGGATTAGAAGAGATTGAATTGAAGCCCCGTTTCGAATTCGAAACAGAGTTTCCGGAGCGAGTCGAATCGAAACTCATCTTCACGAATCACGAATTATGCAATTGCATTTTGAGATGTTCGGAGATTAAAAAATATTAAGAAACTTGCAGAGAATGCATTTGAAATGAATAGGAAATTTTCTTATAATTTTGAATTTACATTTAACCACCGATCGACCATTTGCGGGAGCGGGACGAGACTGCCTCCAGTGCTATGCGGTGCAATGTTTTGATCACTATATTCCATAGAAAAAATATATGAAAAAGGAAAAAGAAAAAAGAAAAAGAACTAAAAATTTAGCTCCCGGTTGGCCTTCATTAATTTCTATTCCATTACATTTCATTTTTCTCTCTCCTACTTTTAACAACACAATCTTCCATAAAATAATATTACACGTAAAGCGAAAAAATTTCCTTCTTTTTCAACTACTCATTTTTCACAAAACAATATTCCACCCATTAAATTTTCTACAAAATGGGGGCCAAACCGGGGCTTAATCACTATATTTGGGTGGGGGCCAACACATTCAATCTACGTTAAGTAAGCTAAAAGCCATTATCTCGGCCAAATAAAAAATAATAAGACCTTATAATTTTGCAAGAGAAAAGTTGTTCAATTAATCTTTAAATATTTTTCCAGTTTTTATTCCTGTTTTGGTTGCCAAACATTCATGAAAAACAAGTGTGAATTAAGGTTCTTTACCTTATATAGATATTTCTTTCCATTTTGTATTAATTAATTTTAGGACAAATTATTCTCGATGATTTATATAATTAAGGCCTTAAAAAACTCGGTGGTGTCATAATTTATATACATTAGCGCCAGCGGGTCTTTGTTCATATATATATGTGATTCCCGAATCAAACATTATTTTTAAAACAACATACAAATTCAAACACAACCTAAGTGTGATTCTGTATTTATTAAACAAACCTCGTGGGGCTGCAATTTCTTGCCGTAGAAAATGTTAGGTTGAATCCCTTCCTTCATCATCCACAACTTTGCTGTAGAAGACAACATCTGCTCATTTTGCCTGACCAATATAATTGTCATCTACTCAAGAACATTTGAAATTTTGGCATGCTTATAAAAGATTAATGATGGATGATCCCGTTGAACTATATTGTTGTGGTTGGACAACAAGCATGATCTACATGATATTAGCATTAGAGGATAATAATAATTAATATTTTTTCCTGTTAGTTATTTGTTAGATATATTTCATGTTCAGTAAATATCTATTAGATGCACAGGTTTGAATGAGAAGTTTCCAAATATCTACTAATACCTGTCTTTTCATCTTTTTGTTTATGTGGAAACTGTATTCAGATGGTAGAAAAGTTGATCAATAAGCATGAAGAATGTGTAGAAGGTAAATTTAACTCAATTAAAAGCTTAAAGGAAACAAATGCTCCAAGTATATCTTATGTCAGACATGTAACTATCACTCTCTAATGACTGAACAAGTTTTTATTATTTGGATCAATATTTTTGCTATTAATAAATTGAGTTTGTTGTTTATTAAATGACAACTTTAGAATGTTTTCTAAGAAGAAATGATAAATATATGAGCATGTTTTCGAATTGTGATGTAAATAATTGATCATGCAAGTTTGATTCATATCTTGTCATTAGCCAAATATGATTGGAGACCAGTTAGATGACTGTATATAAATTTTTAGCCCCTGATTGGTAGAAATCATTTGTTATCTCTTGAAACCAATCCACACAGAAGGCCATACCAAATTTATCAACACCACCACTTACACTCCATAGATTAGCCACTATGTTAGGAGAACTTATTGATGAATATAAAATAGGAGCACCTTCCGGGGTGTAAAGCCCATTTAGTTTTAGTTCACTACTTTCGCATCCCAACAGTATTGTAGCCGTACAACCATTGAGTTCTTAAATTTTTTCCTCAAGGTCAATGTTCAACTATAAAATGACGAGATAAAAATGAAATTGGGTTTAACGATTCTCTGGAAATACAAAGTAGGGGAAAAAAAAGAATACATACCTGACTATGCTTTACTTAAACTACTTATTTGTGAAACTTGATTTCCAAAGTAACTTTTTTTTATTGACGAATCTTGCTTTTGCTTTTCTCTAACCTACATTCACAAGTGTTAACTTTTAAGTACAATCAAATATATTCTAGTTGTTTACCATCTACATGGACCGAGCAAACACAGAAGTCGTGATTTTTCAAGGTTACAATTAGCTCGTTGTTTGGGAAAAATATTTATACGCACCATGCATAGAAAAGTCGAAGAAGAAACTTCAATCCAATTTTGGCAAATCTTTGTTTTTCTCATCAAGTATGAGAAATAAAGAACTAGATTACCTTGCAATTCTCTTTTTGCAACCATTTCTCAAATTTAACCTGTTCACTTCCAACGCAGTCATTGTTAGGATTTATTAAATAATATAGGTTGCGAGGATTTATCGATAGAAATGATACGGAATTTGTCGAAAACTACACTTGTTCTTGGCAACGCGTGTGAATTGTTGCAAGAATGCTTTCAACAGATGGTATACGATAAATATCTTCGTTTTCCAATATCGACAGATTCTCCCATGGAAATAACTACAGAAAATTATCAATATTGCTTAAATAATCTATAGTAAAAATGTAAGATTATTTATGATCAATATGACATGAATCAATCAAAGAAATTATCGATTATATTTATATAAATTACTGTAATGAAATGAAAAGCATAACATGTTAGATTCATTTATTCGATTTTCAAATATAAAAATTCTAATTTATTGGTTAAATAGAAACTCTAAAAACTTATAAAAATATAGTAGAAAATAACAAAAGAAAATATTTGAAAGTAATAAATTAAAGGTATGTACTTGAACCTTATAATCTAGGATTAGAAAGATGAGACTTCTTTTCATGCAATCTATCCCATCGTTATCACGTGTTTTTTGTTTTGAACACAGAATTCAATAGGGATGTAGATTTTCCTAGCTTTATGCCAACATAACATCATTTCGTCAAAATATAAGGTAAATATCTTCCGTCTATGGACATATATTCTTTCATAAATACAAGGTGTTTAGAATTTGGTCACTGTCCCAACATGACATGTTTCCAAGCATTAAAAATTCCAACATTGGGGTTTTGTTTTGAACACAATTCAATAGGGATGTAGATTTTCCTAGCTTTATGCCAACATAACATCATTTCGTCAAAATATGAGGTAAATATCTTCCGTCTATGGACATATATTCTTTCATAAATACAAGGTGTTTAGAATTTGATCACTGTCCCAACATGGCATGTTTCCAAGCATTAAAAATTCCAACATTGGGGTTTCACTATGAATTTGCTCAATTATGTTAGAAACATTGATTTATAGCAGCGAATATACAAGCATTAAACTTATGAATATTTTTTATTCAATTAGTTTTAGGTCAATGTGTCTTCATGTATCAGAGATATGGAAGTCTTTTGGCTTGGTGCCTGAAAACATGCCATGTTGGGGTAGATTACGTTAGGAACCTTGGTTTATAACAACGAATTTACTAGCATTAAAATGATGATTTTTTTTATTTAATTAAATTTTATGTCAATGTGTCTTCATATATCAGAGATATGAAAGCTCTTTAGCTTGGTGTTTGGAAACATGCCATGTTGGGATGGTGGCCAAATTCTTAATACCTTGTATTTAGGAAAGAGTACCTATCTGTATATGAAAGATATTTACTGTATATTTTGATGAAACGATGTTATATTGGCATAAAGTCGGGAGTATCTACATCCCTATTGAGTTCTATGTTCAAAACACGTGATAACGATGAGATTGATTGCATAAAAAGAAATCCCATCATTCTAGTCCTAGAATTCGAGGTTCATGTATACACACTTAATTTATTACTTTCATGTATTTTCTTTTGTTATTTTGTACTATATTTTTATAAGCTTTTATTAGAGTTTCTATAAATAATTAAAATTTTTATATTTGAAAATCAGCTCAATGAATCTAATAAGTGATGCTTTTCTTTTCATTATAGTAATTTATATAAATATAATTGATAATTTTTTTGATTAATTTGTATCCTGTTAATCATAAATAGTCTTATACTTTTATTAAAGGTTATTTAAGCAAGATTGATAATTTTCTGCATTTATTTCCATAGGAGAATCTGTTGACATTGAAAAACAAAAAAGATTTATTGTATGCTATCTGTTGGAAGTATTCTTGCAACAATTCACACGTATTGTCAAGACCATGCGTAGTATTTGACAAATTCTGTACCATTTCTATCGATAAATCCTCGTAACCTATATTATGTAATAAATCCGAACAATGATTTCGTTGGAAGTAGACAGGTTAAATGTGAGAAATGGTTGCAAGGTAATCTTATTTTTTGTTTCTCATACTTGATGAGAAAAATAAAGACTTGCCAAATTGGATTGAAGTTTCTTTGACTTTTCTGTGAAGGGAGCTATAATATTTTTTCCTAAATAATTAGCTGATTGTAGTCTTGAAAATCAATGACCTCTATGTTTACTCGGGCCATGGAGA